TACCAGCAAATTTCTAACATTAATCATAGGATTTACTTGTCAATAACTTTTATACTATTTATTTAAATCTTACTAAGTATATGAAAGGTTATTTATTTCAATTGTATTTGATAAAGAGGCACAAAATGAACTATATCACATCTAATTGTTTATTAATCCTTTAATCAATTAGCAGAAAAGCATTGGTGACGTTGTTATGAACGAAAATAGAGGTGGGGACAATCAAACATAATTCAACATACATTACAGAGTTATTTAGTAAAATGTAAAAACCATACGTTCAATATTTTTTGTGTGCAAAATTTCGATTGATTGTCTTAGGCTTTATTGTTCCTTCATTTCCATACCAATTGCTGTCTGTTCCCGTTCTCTTCTATTTGATCTCAAACTTCTGTCACGCATTCCATTTATGCTTGGCGTTATATACTACTTATGTCGACATAAGTAGCACACACAACGTTCTTTTCACTCGATTATATCTATCAACGGTCAATCTCATTGATTCTACTGATTCACAGTTACTAATATTGATCTGTAAATACATTACACTGGTTAGTACAACTAACAAAAACAAAATATGGTTGCTTATTACAATTCAACAATGTTTTATTTTAATGTACTTCAAAATCAATCGTCACTGTGGTATTGCTTCTAATAGATGGGATCTAAAAAGAAATCCGATTAGTGGTATAATGGAAAAAACAAAACACAGTTGTAGCTTGATTTTCTCTTTGAAAGCTCATGTGTTGGTAATATTTTTGGTGGTTTAAGAACTCATTTTTCAGATTTTAAATTGCACTAATTTATCCACTTGGCACTAAATTTCAAAGTAGCTTAAATGTGTTTTATGTAAAAAGCTCAACATTACTTATTTCGTCCCAATTGTACTTAATTATTTTATTGAGCGACTGAAAATCTATATTCAGGATTTGGTCTCAATGTTTAACAGTCTCAGTTAAGTGGTTTTGAGCATTCTAGGATACATGAAGAGAGAAAAATAAGATTTTCAATAGGCTATTTCTCTATTCTTTCAGAAGATGAAAGTAGGGTGGAAAAACAACGATACTAATTGAAGGAGTCATTGAAATCTTGAACTGATCAATGTTAGATCACCACTGAAAATCTGGATGCACTGGACGGCCGTTTCGTCCCAATATGAGACTCCTCAGCAATACAGGGTTGTGGCGATTGTTGAATTTCCTTGAAGCCATGTGCGTTTGAACAAATAATAAAGTACATGGAGCTGATCTCAAACAGTTACACAGACTATAAATAAGCCCCCAAAACGAAAAAAACGATTATTCTCGGCTCTGTAGATTTCAGTGCCCATTCAACATTGATGTTAGTTAATCACTTAAAAGCCAGAAGCATGAAAAGTATCCCCTTTTAACTTTTATTCAAATTTTGCCGAAACTTTCGCTTTCTTTAGTTTTTAATTTTACATACACAACATTCAGGCTTTATATACAGCTCTAAAAATTAAGTTATATTCAATTGTTATATGACCTCTTGAATGTGTGAAAAAACCTAACCAGATCTGATAGATATATTTAGCTTACTTAATTCTCGATTTAAGTAGCAACACATATTATCCACACTACAAACTTCAGATTGAGATATAGAATGCTTAGTTTTCACTTGCATTTTCCATTTAGATGTCATACCGCAGCTATAAACCGTGAATATATATTTTATAATACTCATTTCATGGCAGAATATTCTGGATATTCTAATATGTTTAAGCAAGTTGGAACATTCTTTAAGGAATGTCTCTTACAAATGAAAAATCTATTGATTGGATTGAAGAAGATACTATGAACACCTCTATGCACAATGGTTTTCTGAATATGAGAGAATACCTACAATAAAATTACCTAACAGAATAATCCATCGAGTGTAGGCATGATAAATCTTGTTTACCTACTTATTTATGTTTGTTATCCCTCGTGGGTTACGAGCTGCCAACATAAACTATCCAAACAACCTTGTCCTGGACTCGCCTTCCCACTTGTTGGTGTTATTCATTCTGTTGGTCTCATGCAATTAATTCCCTTTATGAATTTAAATAAAGCCAGAACAAACATGGATGCAGAATAATATGAATTCATTATATTTCGTGGTTTCTCATTAGCTGCTTACAACAGATGAGACTGAGAAGTCTTTTAGAAAAGTTGAGAGGACTCTTGAAGAAAAATCTAATCGATAATCATATGTACAATGAGCTCAAACAATTACCTTACTTATATGGCTTATCTAAAACACAAACTCAACAGCCTGGTAAGACCAATATTATCTATGACCAAATCACCCTTGTATAAACTCTCCCACTGGCTTACTAGGTGCTTAAGACCGATTCATATTCACAGACTTACAATAACTAAAATCCCATGTTTCAAGTGAAATATGACTTGTTGGCAGATTAGACATGAACTTAATAGAGTGAAATTAAATCAAAACGTCGTCATATTGTAAATGGAAGAATTTTTAGATTAATAAGTATAGAAAATCACATTCACTAAAATACTACTTAAGTGATTCTTATAATAATAGAAACAAATTTAATTAACGATTGGAACGCTCTCTAAATGTTCTGAATTGCATGAAAACGTCTCACTACTGATGAGTTTCTAAGAGGATGTTGACATGTGAGATATTCTCAAAGAGTATATTACTTGCCAAGAAACTCAAATTACAGATGACATGCTCTAATTCAGTGATCGAATCATTGCAATTAATAATTAGGGGATAAGAATCAAGATGGTGTAAATAAAACGAAGCGATAATTCTGAGCACTATTTTAAACAGGAACATTCAAAATATCATTTACAATTAGTTGAATAAACTAATTTTGACAGTTGGACTATGGAATAACATCATCCGACGTGTTAGAAAGCACCATACAGCAACATGATTTTTATTCTTTGTAAGTGGGTATTTATTATCTAAATTGTGACCGGATCCAGGATATTAAGAACTACCGGCTAGTACAATTTAGTAAAGTCATTGAATTAGAATTCAACAGCTCGTATCTTCTAGCTCTGATTACAATTCTGTAGTGAACCAGCCACTTTATGGTCCCATTAGATGGTAGTTGCATCATTCTGTGAATTGACTGGAGTCGAAGGAGGTGGGGTACTGGATTTCAATTAAGTAGTATAATGACCATTGGAACCAATTAATCGTCAATGATTAAAATAAGTAGCAGAACAAATATCGTGCATGTAGTAATCATGATTAACGGAGCTAGATTAAAATAATATTGGAGGAAGAACTTATGAATTTAAAACCACATATCATATTACTCTTAGTAATTTATAAGGATTGTACAAGATTTAAATGACCTATCTTTTTCACTTACAGAGAAAAGTATTTTGTTTTGAAATAAAAATAATTCGCATGACATTACACTACTTATAAGTAGTAGGTTTTATTATAAAAAAAGGTTTTGTTTGCAAAACCATGGTCAATCGGGTCACAAAAATGCGGACGTAATCAAGTCATCCTAAGGGATCTCTCGAAGTATTTGTGAATGAACTCTGATCTAGTATTATACTAAATGAATTATTTCTTAATCGTCTATGAAGTATATACATCTCAGTTTGCAACACTCACATCTGATATATCATAACTATTATTTGAATTACTTGGTCCATGATAAGAGAACTAGCAATTTGAATTAATGTATATGAACATGAATGAAGCGATATCATATTGAAATAGAATTTGAAGATACAATTGATGATTCGTTTAAAACAAATTTTAATTACTTTGACACTGGATATTTCATGGAAATACTTCTAAAGACAATTTTTAGGTTTTGCCTGTGTGGAATATGAAAGAACTTAAACCAAACCACTCGAAGTTATTTTGAAATGCAAGTGAAGAAAAATTCGAAATTTAGTTAATACATGTCTACTATGACTTACTTTATTTAGAAAACGGGGAACAACAATATTTTATGATGATTAATCTCGAAACAACTTGCAGTATACTACTTTGGTTACAATCTAAGAACAAGTTCGTGTACATAATTTTACGGCGGCCTGCTTGAGCATTTGGGCTACCTGTTCCTGCCATCTAGATGTTTCAACAAGTTATCTATTTTTGTTTGTTTTAATGTATCGTTATGTCTATTAATCGCGTAACCTATTCTGCCGCGTTTTTGAAAAGCGCACAATTTTTCGTTGTCAAAGTTACAAAAAACTTAATAAGAGACAATGTGGTTGCTGGAAATATACAACGAAAAGAGTGCACATTATTCAGATGTTCATTTACTGGACTGTTAACATCTAACTGGCGATCACTCAATATTTATCGTCAGGACCGACCAAGAAGAAAGGAACGGAAACTTGTTAAAATACTTTACGCTGAAAATTCTATATTGTACCAAAAATGTAATATTGAATAAAGCTAATAATAATAATATCCTAAGGAGTATCAATTAGTCTCACCAAAACAGTGCAAGAATCATTAATTGAAGTGCTGAGTGATTGGTGTTCGAATAGCAGTTATTACTTTAATTTCAAGTACGGAAATTCACCGAACCATTATTCACTGCTTCCTGCCGAATATTCTTATTAAACGTTGTATTCTCTCCAGATCAACAATTCAAGGAGACTCTATTATCAACCGTAAGTACTTATTGTCAACTACTCAACGATTTAACTTCATAAACTTCATTGTAGCATCGGTTTTGCTGCATATTAGCTGAGAATATGATACTAATATTATAATCATCCTATATGTACCTTCCCTTATATTTACAACTTATCAAATAAATATACAGCCACCGTGTTGTCCATCTGGTTGAAATTTGAATACGATGTTCAGTTCCAACAAATATTGGCTTGATACTATGAAAACAATAACCTTTACGTTTATTATGGGATTTCTTATGGATTAATGAAATTAAAATGTACTACACAAGTCCAATAACGCAACCCCAACTACATATTACATTTATTTTACTCAATAAGAATTTTTTCCGATAAGAAGCAAACTAAAGATCTCAAAAATTATATTGAAATTCACTGAAGTAAATTAAAATAATCGTTAGAGAATATATATCGGTTTAGATAATAAATAAGGTTATAAATTTGATAGATGTGTAAAATATTTACAAACAATCAATTAGCAGTTGGGAAAAGGAAGTAGACGATATTCTGCAGCACAGTCCAAAAGCCAAGTACATGGTATCGATTGAAGAGGTGGTGGTAAGTCGTCTGCCAATGAATTTAGTGTATTTGTAGATTTTTTCAGTTTGATTAAATTAAGCGCTTTACTAACAGTGTCTACAGCATATATAGATTTGTTACACGATTCATTTTTAGGTTTACTGAAAACACCCGGATCATATAAAACAAGCAAGGAGGAAGGATTATTCGAATCAATCATTGTGATTTCATCTATAAACGAAATATTGTCACTAGTCTCTTGATCAAACTCTTTATTCGCCTCTACGGTATTTAAATCCCAAATAGATGAATTATTTGCAGATTCAATAGCATATCTTGCAAGCCGAATCGGAGAGCAAACATCACGACTGAATACTACACTTGCTCCACCAGATCGTGCTAATTGAGTAAGCTCATCCCTGGATGGTACAGGATATACGAAGTTCCCCTGCAGAAAAACGACAATTAGGTACCACTTAATTTACAGAAGAAACTCAACAACATATGATTGGTTATGTAAAACAATCCATCTAGTGACGCGTATGAAATCTATGGGTCAATATCTTTATTGAAACTAATTATCTTTCATGAAACCACCTATCTGTTGCAGAAAACAAGCATATAATTTTCGGCATTAAATCCACTTCCCGAAAGGCGGGAAAAATTAACTGACGTTGACTGTAAAATGTATAAACTATTCGGTTAAAATGAAACATGATAAGGATTTACGACTATAAATACTGCCTTTACAGAAAGCAACATTGATATGCGTGCTAAATAAGGGGCAGTTCACTATAATTATTATTTAATTTTTCAATAATATTTCCTCATTTTTCAGACAATTTAATTCAGTAAAATTAAAACATAACAATAGTGAAAACTCAACGACTACTACTAACAGATTATCATGTGTTTTTGTACAAAGCGATAAAAATGTGAAACATCATTTCAGAGATGAAAGTACAGATTAGTCTTACGAAATTTTGTATTGTTAAATAAAGTTATTTACCATTACTCTTGGTGCAGTTATGACCCAATGGTTTAACCACTCGATTTTAAAAAAATATCGTGGTACCAACATTACTGCTTTGTTGGCGAATCGATCCATAAATGTAAGAAAAAAACAGTTATGTTTACAAATTATCCTCACTAACAATGCCCGTACGTTCACTGAAACAAACACACACATACAGTTTACCCTAGAGATTGTCTTCTACTACCAATAATATCAGTTTTTTAAATAACATCATAACTGTCAGACAACAAATACGACGAAAGAATACATACACATATAGATCATTCTGTTTTCCAACCAAAAGATGAGTTTGATGCCCAGTAATTTGTTCCGTCCTTCTTTATGGGTGTGAACCAGTCTTTAAAAAAGATTATATTTATAGGTCACTAGTATTCGATCATAGATGCCTCTGAACCATCGCTCATATATTTTGAGACTGATTAGAAATTCTGAGGTTAGACGCATAGTACTAGGTAAGTATAGCTAATTGACTGATGAGATAGTGAATCTCTATCGATTGAGATGGTTGGCACATGCATTACGTATTTCCATACACCGATGACTTCGACGCGGGATGATGGCTGACGTAGGAGTAGTTAGGAAGAAATCTAGGGGTGGTCAAAACAAGACTCGAATTATATCTCAAACGCTTAATCTTTCCTATTACCATTCAAAACACCATTACTACCTCTAATACTTTGAGATTTGCCCTGGAAATCTCATCTCGTCATCCTGATGGGGTATGGAAACTTGAACCGATGTACACATGTGCCAAGCCTTACGTTGCGTCTAACTGACTGAGATCATTCAACATTTGTTAGTTAATAACATAGCAATTTAATTTAAAACTCCAACCCTTATATATATCGAGAAAGTTTTTCAAATACAAAAATAAAGTAAAACAAATGAAGTTTGATATCCACCTAATTTTTTTCAGGACAGTCGATTATGATAAACAGAAATGAAGTTGACTATTTCATACTTTATACCAAGAATCTCCTGATCATAACTATTGTTATTTTGATGAGTTATTGCCCACTAAATAAGCATTAAATTCAATTTGCCTATTATTAAAAAAGTATAAAGACGGAAACATACTAGGAAACAAATGTTTAAACCATGAAATAGTCCCAAAGAGCCAGCTTCACGCGCGAGACGTGCTCGACGAGGTGCACCGGACATAGGAGCAGTACTACACCCAGTTACTTCAAAGCCTTCTTCTTCTACACGCATCTTGATATGAGCACAAGTTTCAATCCAATCAAATGACAAGATCCAACATCCCTAAATGATATCAATAAGAAGAGATGGCGGATTTTTAAAAAAGATGAACAGCTAAACTGTGTCAAAATTAGGACAATTCAACTTATATGACCCATAAACTTCATATAACTTACACTCAAATACCACCTAAGGTGATGTTTGGAGGTGGTCGACAAGAAAATAAATCTCATTCCCAGCCTGAATAGCTGTGGTAACATCTCAAATTGTCAAGCAGAGTGACTCGGGATCAAGTCTATGGAGAAGTATAAGTCCTCTTAAGACAGGGTTTCCTGTCGACTACTTCCAAACATCACCTTACATCTCAACATATTACACGCGATGTCGAATCGCCTAGATTAGTGACTAACTTGAATCTTGATTGACGGAATTCGATCAACACTAAGAAGGACAACACACGTATGACATCAGTCACTCCTCAGTGGTCAGTCAATTGCAAATACTTGAATTTGGTGTATTATCGCCCTATTTAATTGACCCAATGGAAATAAAATGCATGATCTTGTAACATAACAATGATAACAAAACCATTTTCTGTGAATCTTAGTCATAACTACATATATATGTAAAAGTAACTTGAAAATATTCCAGAAATTTTGGACAACTATGAGATTTCTAAAAAAAAATACTCGAAAGATAGTTTAAAAATCTTTTTTTTTTGGAAAAACATAGTGAAAATACATATTTAGAAATACTTTGAACTGAAGAATAAGAACTTTTAAAAATGAAAACTTGCTAAGCACTTGCTTCGTCATGTCCTAATGAAATGAAGAAAATTGGATAATTTGTTAAAAATCACTCAGAACCCTGACAAGTTTGTCCCCTTTGCTACATAAGAATAGAGAGTTTGCTTGTTAGATGAAGAGCTCATACAGGGCACAGAAATCTAGTTCTGAGAGTACAACTGTTCAAATCAGATATACCTGACTGAACAATTCGAATGAACGTATCAAATAACTGGATAAAGATTTACAGATTATGCAATATTTTTGGAAATGCATTAGGTTAAACCGACATGTGATACATGTGGTATAAAAGTATTGCTCTAAGACTTGCAGAATCCAATTACTGATACTAATTAACATTATATCCATGCTTTCAGAATTTAACAACATAATTCAGATTTTAAATACAGATATCAATACATAATATTTTAAAATTAATAAATGAATCTCTGAACTTGCCCACTGTCTATAGTATATATATGTTGGAGAGTTTTTCAATATATCAATTTTTTAAGGTCATATTTTAAAATAAGTAACCTAATGTTACACATTATAAAGTAATAAAAAACGAGAGGAAAGATCAAAACTATTTCATTAAATGACCTGTAAAACAGCGCTTAGAAATTTCAAAGTACGTGGGCAAGTAGCTTGGCCATTGGAACTGAGTAATTCATTATCATTTTTAAGTGAACGGGAATTTCTTTTAGATTTATTGTTCTTTTTTGTTTTATTAACTGATTCTTCATCGACTACATCGCTGGATAATTCTTGAAGTGCACCAGTCACGACATGTGTAACTTCAGGTGAGATTGATGAGAACACACGTGCATGTATCATGGTGGCAACACGATTGAACAATGATTGTTGAGTTCTTGTTAGACCAGTACCCAGAAGAATAGGTCGAAGACGTCGTCTTTTAGTTTAAATAAGCATATTCAAAGAATTAATTAAAGCAGAATGACAGTAAATATATGATAAAAATTTGAATTATTTTAGAAAACATTCGATTAAATAATAATAATGCATCATTTATAAATAATAGGTGAAAGATAATCCTCAAAAAATAACCATAATACGTTTTCCTACTATCACCAGTTTCAAAAATTTTAATTTATGATACATATACAATAGTGAATATATTGTAGTCTAGATGATACCTGGAGTTTTAAGTGAAGAAATCAACTTCTTAGATGTCTCATAAGAAGACCTGGTACCCTTAATATGAATGAAATCATAGTAATGATAGTTCCGAACCATCCAAATTATTGCTCCGTGGAAGTACATTACTATATAAACTATAAAAGGCATTACAGTATATTTGGGTTAAATAAACAGTTTTCAAATAATTTAAGATCCATGACATTTAAAGAATTAATTGCACTAAACGTGAACAATCCATTAATTTGGTTGATGCGAAATTTGCTTATTATTATTTCTATTACACATTTAGTCAATGATTAGTTTAATGATCCCATTTTACATTAAGATCACGAAGGAATAAAAGTTTGGCTATTAAATAGAGTATGATAAAGAATTCACAGGTATACACAAATTATTTAATCCCGCTAAAAATAACAATACACTTTGAAATTAAATATGGTGTTTACGTAAATATTTTCAAACCTACCTTTCAATGAAAGTGGTTGCAGAGGAGACAGATAAAATACTTAAAGTTTTATTGTTAGTCAGACAATCTTTATCTGATACAGTGGTAGATAATGATGCTTTGTTTAACATATTTCTTATGTCAGATAATGCATTGAGAAGGGAGTTATACTTTGATGATTTAGAATCTGAATTGTGCAGTTCTTTTAATTGGCATATACTGCTATCCACTAATTGTATTGGAATTATTCCATTATTATTTGGAAACATAGGATTAGCACCATGGTCAAGCAAAAGTTGACAGAAGTCAACTTGTCCATTCTGTATAGCTTCGTGCAAAGGAGTCTCTAAATCCGGACCACCAGGAATATCTACGGTAGCTCCAGCTTTGATCAAAGCTTTAGCGACCTATAAAAAAACAAACCTATCAGTCAATTTTCATATATAAATAACAAGGAAACTTCAAATTATTGATAAATACTTGAAATTAGTTTGATGCTCACTTCACAGTGTCCACGTAACGCAGCTTCATGCAATGGTGTCCAACCAGCATGGTCTCGAATATTCGGTGATAACCCGGCGGAAAGTAACTCTTCTATTTGACTAGTATCACCACGAATTGCTGCCCTATGTAGCTGGCTTTCACCTTTGCTATTTGGTCTTAGTTTGTGTAGTAAATTGAGAAATCCAGATGACTTACGGTCCTGAACAGGAACAACTTTCTTAACATTATTTTGGATCTTCTTAGAATTCTTTTTTGAGATACTTGAACTTTTTGAAGTTGCTGCTTTATTCTCGTTAGTTACTGGTAGATCGACAGGTGTAAGGAAGACAGAAGTTTTAAATGAAATCGGATCAGACGGAGATAAAGTGGACTGATCTGTTAAACGAGAAGGTTCAGGAGAAGCGAATGGGACCGGAACATCTATTTTGTTAGGCATCTACAATAAAAAAGTGCAAACGTTACTAAATAATGAACAACAAATGAGACGAGCACAATCAATACCGAAAGTGTATAAAGTTCAACACTGTTAATTAAATAACAATTACCATGTTTAAGCTTTTAGAAAATGTCGTGAGCTGACAAGAGAATGAGCAGAGTCGAATGACTAAGCTGCTGACCTACAGCGAAGTCAAGGTAGTTATACTATCCAATAGTTCGAAGAAAATAGAAAGGATGAATAAACAAAGCCAAAAAGTAATTATCATTAAACGTAATAAGATTATGAGAAGGAAAATAAACTTCACATGAACGGTGTATATTCGTATCGAAGATTGTTTCGAAACAATGTGTTTTGATATCGCAATGATACCGTTTTGGTTACTGTAGTTCAATAAAGCTAAAAGAAGAAACAACAGATTTGTGAATATGGTAATTGGATATTTTTACTTGAGAACTTACCGTTTGTTTAGGTTCTATCTTATCTTTACAAACTTTCGATACAATTTTATTCCGAGCATTTCTAGTGTTATGTACAGCAACAGCTTCTACAGAAAGTGATTCAATTGGTTTATCAAGAGAAACACATGATTCATTTCCGTTGACAGAATTTACTGATAATGTTTGATGAATATCAGAGCTTGAATAAGCAGGTAATTTAGTCACTTTATTTAATCGTTGTTTCTTATTGGCTTTGACATCATGTTTTGAAGGATAATGAGGTTTGAAATTAATGCATGAATCATTACCAGTTGAGCAAACATTGGATACAAATGTATCAGCAGTAGATATATTTGTATCACTATTAACCAAGGAATGCCCACGTTTATAGCTTACACCGATTGGACTAAATGTAAGTAGAATGAACATAAAAATTATTTAATGAGATGGATAAGAATAAAACTAAGAAAAAACTTATTCAGGTAGTTCACAAGGCAAATCAATTCTTATCATAGTAAAGATTTTATGTGTAATGGGACCTTAAGGTAAAAAGTGTTTTAGTCAATGGGTACATTTAGTTTCTACAATAGGAAAACACAACCAATAAATTAAAGTAACTCTCAGGTCAGGTATCTAAAAGTTACAATGTCTGAACTATGTACTTTAACAGTAGGATGAAGGCAGTAAACATATTCAGTAGTTCTAATTCAGTGAGATATAGTAGTAAACTAAGTTGAGTGTTTTATCTAATGTGAGAAAATCATATATTTTTATGATGTGAAGTAAATTAATCTTGAAAAAAACGATAAGGAGAAAAGATCTAATGAACTCTAGAACCTCACAAATCAATTTGCATTCCTTGTCTAAAACACAAAACTTGATTTTTCAGTATTTACTTAACATTTGCAATATACATACGTTAGTAATACTTTGAGGTATGTACAGTTAAGCATTTACAGTCTTCTTATATATCATCTTCGATCGAGCTCAATACAATAAACAACACACATGAATCTCGGTAATGCCACAAATGATTTACTGAGTGAAAGATACCAAGGTCAGTTCCTTTTGAACCTTTTAGAAGGATTTTCATCGTGAGCTTCAGAGTGGTTAATTCTTATCCAATCAGCACTAGTCGATACTTGGAGAATACTCTAGAATATTCTTACGTAAAATCTATAAATATACTAACGTTTTCCCTATTGTGCTTCTTACTTCCATTTAACCTTGTTATTTGGAATATAATCTCTTTCCTGTTCAACCATGTTCTGATTTGGGGACTTGTCGAGTGATTTGGTGTCCAAAAATACTAAGCAATAGAAATAGCTGAGTTATAACCGTAAGAGAGAAATATAACAGGGGTATTTCCACATCACATTATACTGTTTTTTTTAAAAACAAATTTCAATGCTGCCTTTCACTCAACGTCTCTCTTGATCCAACATTTTATCAACTATAGTTTAAGGGTATATAGTCCTTGCTCTATAAAGAGAACGTTTGAGGAATTTATTTTAATATCAGAGAAACAAGACTAGAGGAGAGTGCATTATTTTCTTTACAATGAAGTATTCTAAATGCTTTTCCTTTATCTGGATTGATACACAGACCAAAGTTGCTTAATAAATATATAGTTTCTCTCAAAAATACTTGGTGACTATGTCCAAGTATTAGCCCAAACCCGAAATCGACCATCAAGGTACCTATTTTACTTTGGACAAAAACTGAACGATATTCATAGCTAACCATAGCTTCATTTCAATTTATTATGGTGCCAAAATCAGTCAACAGGTCAATTTTTTAATAGTTGAGAAAACAAAATGAACATGAAACCTTTAGTTTCTTTTGTATCAAGAAGGTTGACAAAAATATATGTGCAGTTAACTCGGTACCACATACTCATTTCTAAAGACTATAGAAATAAAATCTTACCGCTTTGAATCTTTATCTTCGGATAATTGTTGCCTTGAAGAATAGGCCTTTTTAATTACTACTTGTGGTAACATATCATTTTTAGTTGCATCAGGAATATCATTTTCTGTAACAAAGATGAAGAAAACGATCGCTACATTTTGTAGGCTAAACAAATGCGAAGAATAAACTGATGTTTGTACAGTTACTTACCACTCATGAAAGTCAGTTTTAGAGTCAAATTTGACTGTATTTAAAACGTATGCTTTTCTATTAAGTCACAAACCGCTAGTTATGAAAAAACTGGTGAGAAATAAAAACAAACACAATACTACACCGGAATATTTCAAAAGCAATATATATTTGGCTACAACACTATTCGATCTTTGAATAGGTTTTTCTAGGTTATAGATACCAGTTGACCATAAATATTCACGCACAGATAAAGTGAAAAGTCGATCTGTTCTCCCTAAGTCACCGCATGTTTACAGGTACTTCTAGAAAATAGTTACTATAGAATTTAGAGGATAAAAGCTAAGCCATAGCGTTTGGACAAAATAAGCAGATAGGAGGGTTAACATGATGGAGTTGAAATAGGCTTTAGGAACTTGAAGAACTGAATAGTGTCTAGATCTGTTTCGATCACTACGTCCCATCGCAGTTCATTTCTTCACATTACTATTTTGTGAACTAGATCCTCCGATCCAAAGCTTGCAGGTGATCTGCAAAGACTAGGTACTTTGGCCAATAAATCGGATGGGTACTACTACATTGATACAAATTATTAGCATCCAAAAACGAGGGATTAAAAATAACTTGATAAGCACTCAAAATCTGATTATACTATTACACCGTTTACTTCCTATCTACTGCTTTATTTTCATATGATATGGATTATTTTTCATTTTACTTTTAATATTTATCATGGTTAGTAGCTTGACGTTTCTGCTGACTACAAAAGGCCAGATATAAAACGCCCACGGTCCAAGTAAATCAGTTCAACGTTTGTATAAAATGGCTTTTATGAACATTGTATACTTAATAGTTTTATTTGACAGTATTACTTGTACCCTCTAACAACGTCATGTGAGCAATTCCGGATTTTAGTAATATGGACCACCTTTCAATCAAAAGAGTCATCTTAAAACACCGGTCCGAGTGATTTAGAAATATTTTATATACAGCATTACGACTTCCATACAGAGCACTGTTTGAAGATCTTAATACTGGTCAAAAAGCAGTGATGTGAAGGACAGTTGTATCGAACTGACGTCTTGCCCATTTTGACTCTATAGATGTTATTACAGAGGCGTTATTAACAAATTCATTTGATCTTTTAAGATTCCAAATTTAAAATCAAAACCGGTGATGATCGTGATGCAGCTGTAATACTGAAATAAGTGGAATCTTTTGTTCGTTTCGCCCGCATTTGCAATTTTTCCTGAAATATTTTGATAACATTTTTGTTGTACATCTTTCTTATACTTTGTGTGGCCCATTTATTGCTACATCCCACCATAATGGCGCGAACACATACGAAAGCATTCAGTTCCCTAATAACCTCAAGTTTGGTAATGTTAATAATAAAAGTAATTTCGACGCTCTACATTACAACTATTTTCTAGGCAGAACGGGATTTTCCATTTAAAAAACCTGACTACGTAGTTAAAATATCCATAAAGGAGGCTGAGTGGATTATTTTTTATCCTTAACTCACTAAGTGAATATATCTAGCATATGGTGTACAAAAAACCACTGTAAGATGAGTGAGAAAAGATTCAGTGCACAGTACTGTAACTTATAGAATTGAATTTTAGGTGCCTTACCATACTGAGGTGTTGATGTAGTACAAAGCTGATGTAATATCAAATAAGAAATGGGATTCCAAAGCTACTTTAATATCAACCACTTGAAAAGTTCTAAGCAGTAAATTTGTGACATGAGACCTTTACAATATGTTTAGACTAAACTACTTCAGTGATAATTGATCTTGGTTTTGTGTAAGCAAAATCGACCCTACAAGTTATCAGAACATACCAATTACGGAATTCTGAGAATCTTTTATTTTCTCTTGAGAAGTATTCATCGTTAATTTCTTTAGTCGACGTGCAACCAATACGAGTGATGTAAACTGTGGATGGACTTGGAAATCGCGTGCATGTACGGGAACTGAGCAAACTGGACAGCAACTTGCAGCCTTTACATTACCTCGACTTGGAATACATGAAGAACATAGCAGATGTTCACATACTCCAGTCGTGAATGGCTGGTGGAGAGTGGAGGCGCAATTATCACATCGCATCAACTCCAACAGTTCAATGATGGCACGATGAGTTTGAGACAAACTAATCATCTGAAATTATTTCATAAAAATAAATTTTTAACTAGAGAAAGTGGGAAAGATAGAAAAAACTGATCACAGATATTTTAATCTTAATTACGTTACTACAGTGGTCTTTATTTCAGAAAGGAAAATACCAATATATACTTTCATGAATGTGTTCGTGAATGTGAAAAAATTGTTACATTTTATAGAACAACAAAAGGCACCTCACGAGATCAATGTAACACGTGGACCAACGATCTCAGTCGATGAAGATTCACAACCTCATCAACTGATTTACCATTATTTCCTAATACCCTGCGTCTAACCTCACTATTACTTACCCGGTGATCCCAGCAGACGCCAGCTATATTTCTAAAGCATCTGTGGTCAAATACTCAGTCAGTCAGTCAGCTACAACGTAGGACCAGGCACATATATGCATCGGTTCAAGTTGCCATAACTCATTAACACAACAAGATGGACACCGGATTCATAAAAGTAGTTAATTCAAAGGTGGTAATATATAAAAGAAAGATTGCAATAAGGATATAGCACAGGAAGAAAGAATTACTTCGTAGAAAGAAAGATATGAAGCAATTTTAACCTCTTAGTTTAATGGAAGACAAAGAGTGTATACACCGACGCCATTGTGATCGATTCTGAGCCATGTTACCAAGAGTCTCCAACCATTGGCTACGATAGTCACGCGCACCCCAACCAAGTAGTCTGCATCTACCAACATGGCTCAGACCAGAAGTTAGTGACTACAAGCACTGATGCCACGTTTTGGTTTGGCCGCCCCTAACTTTCTTCCAACCATCTCCAACACCTGTTAGCATTGCACGTCGTGGTGATCGGTGTTCAGGCATACGTAACACGTGGCCCGACCATCTCGGTCGAAGAAGATTCACAACCTCATCAACTGATTTACCATCATTTCCTAATACCCTGCATCTAACCTCACAATTACTTACCCGGTGATCCCAGCAGATGCGAGCAATATTTCTAAGGTATCTGTGGTCAAATACTAGTAGCTTACGAATATCTTCAACTCTTAATGGTCATGTTTCACTGCCGTAAATTAAGACAGGACGGGATGCCGCTCAGTATACTCGTCCTTTAATTGATAGACGGATATCCCGCCTTCGCCATAGGTGACGTAAGTTGGCAAAGGCCGGACGAGCTTTTTCCATCTGTACTGAGATTTCGTCAGACACTAACCCATTAGCGCTGATCAGACTTCCAAGACAAGTGAAGTTGTCAACGCGTTCGACTACTTTACTCCCTATCCTTAGTTCAGGTGTTGACGCAGACCAGCCCTGAAGCAACAACTTGCACTTAGAGGGAGAGAAGCGCATTCCAAACATCCTGGCATTGTTGCTCAGTGCTACCAGAAAACTCTGCATTTTATCAGCGTCTTCACCAAACAGGACTATATCATCTGCGTATTCTAATTCGATAAGTGGACCTCTTGGAAGGAGATCAATACCCGAGAACTCAGTAGACGAGAAAGTTATTTCCATCAGTAGGTCTATGATGAAGTTAAACAAAAATGGAGAAAGTGGACAGCCTTGACGGACACCACTTGAGGTTGCAAAAGCAGATGACAGTTCGCCATAAGCTCTCACTCGACTGGTAGTGTTCGAGTAAAGAGCTTTCACAAGGTTTATGTACTTCTGAGGTACGCCTTTCAATGACAGACACTGCCACAGAATCGCGTGGTCGACAGAGTCGAATGCTGCTTTTAAGTCAAGAAAAACCACCATTGTCGGACGCCGATAAGTATGCCTATATTCTAGAACCTGACGAATGGTGAATATGTGGTCGATGCAGCAACGACCAGGTCTGAAGCCAGCTTGATTCTCTCGTGTTTGCAGTTCACGAGTCTTAGTTAAGCATTTGATAATCATCGAGGCTAGTATTTTAGATACTATATTAGTTAAACTAATCCCTTTATCGTTGTCACAGGATGATTTTAACCCTCTCTTATATATTGGGACGATAAGTGATTGTGACCAGTCAGATGGAATAACGTCTAACTCTCAGATCTTAGCTAAAATATTAGTCAACCTAATCGCTAAAATTGGACCACCATCCTTAAAGACCTCTGAAGTTAGTCCATCTGTACCAGCTGCTCTTCTTCATTTCAGATTAGTTATAGCTTTTTGAACTTGAGATAGAATCGGGGGACCTACTTCAATGTTCCATTCACACTGTCTGGGAATGGAGGGTAGTTGTAGAGTAGCTGAAGGACAGTTGAACTGTCCTCTGAAATGTTGCGCCCATCGTTCTAAACGTCTGAACTGAGAGCAGATGAAGGTGTCGTCTTTTTCCGAAATAGTCTGACTTACACTTGACTTATTAATTTCAGTTTCTTTTATTAGTCTGTAGAGCTGTCTTGTGTTTCCTATAGCCGCTGCCTTTTCCATCTCTTTTGCTTTCGTTGCCCACCACTGCTCAGGGTCGTTCCTTAGATTTTTGGTTAACATAGATCTGATTTGTTGCCGCTCTTCATCGTGTTCAGAACTTCATGGGATGAGTTTACAATAATATACCAGTGCAATAGACCTTGATGAAATCCATTGGTTCTTTGTAACCCTGTGGTTTAAATCAATGATAGATGTCACTGCTGTTTCCACAGCTGTTTGTATATCTTTCCAAGCAACATCTGGGTCAACCTCGTTTTCAGAACTACCTAATTGTGACCTCAGTTGTTCCTGGAACCTACTTTCGGTTTTCTCGCCACTCAATTCAGTTCTAATGGGTCTTTTTACTGTGGCTTTTTGCGTCCAGCAAGGCCCAAGCAGATGCGTACCCGTAATAGGGCGTGGTCGGAGTCCAAGCAGGTACTCCAGAATGAACGACAATCTTCTACCGACCCTCTTCAACGATGACTGATGGCAACCAACATATAGTAACAAAAACCCAATCGGAGAAGCAACCAGAACTAATAAACAGACACAACACTATCTACTACTTAGTGACTCAGTAGCAAAGTGGATAAAATCCTGATACCAGACTAAAGGTTTAAAGACCCAGATCGATTAATAATTGTAAAATACAAGTACATCAACCCAATAAGTCAAAAGTAGGATAAAACATGATTTTAATATATGGAGGTTTATCAATTTATTTAATCACTTTAGTTCTCAGGGACTATAAGAATGATTTTACACTATAAAAGACGGGTTCGATTTCGCAATAAAATGTCATCAGCTGTAGGAACTGTGGGGGAACAAAGCTTGGCAATGACCAATAATATTGATCTAGTGAGAGATAAGACTGGTGAAACAAGTAATGCTGGATCCCAAACTTGATCCAAATGAACCCCTAATTCCGAATCAATATCTCAGTCAGTCAGTCAGTCAGCTACAACGTAGAACCATGCACTTATGTGCATCGGTCCAGGTTGCCATACCGCATCAGCACAACAAGATGAACACCGGATTCATAACAGTGGTTAGGTAAAAGGTGGTAATATATAAGAGAAAGATTGCATATAGAGATATAGTACAAGAAGAAAGAATTGGTTAGTAGAAAGAAAGATATGAAGCGCTTTTAATCTCTTAGTTTAAGGGAAGAAACCGAGTGTATACACCGACGCCATTGTGATCGATTCTGAGCCATGTCACCAAGAGTCTCCAACCATTGGTTACGATAGTCACGCGGACCCCAACCAAGTAGTCTGCATCTACCAACATGGCTCAGACTAGAAGTTAGTGACTTCAAGCACTGATGCCACGTTTTGGTTTGGCCGCCCCTAACTTTCTTCCAACCATCCCCAACACCGGGGATGGAATCAATATCTGTTCTTGATGTACCTTAAAAAGTGCATGACAGCTCAAACTCAGACAAGCACATAAAACATACAGAACGGGCTTGATATGCATTAACGTTTTTACTTGTAGGATTAACATTCCTTAAATTCCAGAGACCAAAACGTAATTCATATCCATTGAGCTACTGGGTCCTTGTCAGTGACACCAGAACATGATACCAGGTGGAACTGTACATGCTGTTCAATCGGTTTCAATGAAGTCAGACGAAAATGGTGTATTTAGTACCATTTCAACCAGCGTTAGTCCCCTAAAACAAACCACTAATTATAAACGAACTAATGCTGACAATAAGAGATAATACGTCATAATGCCTAATTCTCGCCTAGAAGATAATAATTATGTCAATACACTTATGAAGTACATAGTGAAGTTAATGACAGACCTTTAATTCCAGCAAGCAAAAAAATATGGAGGTAAGAGTGAACTCGAAAGAAATAAAGGCTATATTTTATGGGGAATTTCGGTATAAATTCAGGGGAGATATGAAACTTCAAATTTCGATTTCATACCTCATTTGGATTTGTATATGATACAAATAAGTGTACAGCGAACATGCTGAAGCTGGGCAAGCTCGGCGTTTTGCAGAGATACTGGGTTAACTTCATTTAAGCCGGACAGTGTAGCAATGGTTCAAGATCAACCTGGCTAATAACTGATGTAGGTGGTAGTTGATTAATTAAATTTAATCCTTCAAATTAACTTTTGATTTCTTCACTGATGTAGCCCCCAAATGCCCTGGTACGGCCGAGAGTGGGGAGAGTCCGCTCTCCCTCTCGAAATACTCTCACACGGCCACGCGTATATAGCCTCTGTCAGGGAAGTCCTACTCACTGCCTTTTCGTGGCGGGGGTGTTGTTTACGAAAATGAGAGGACGAAAAGCGAATGTCCGGCGCTTTAACCGGATTCCAAACCAATGGTGCACATGGGCTCCAGTATCCTGCGGGAACAAATGGCGAATGAATCAATTTTTGGTCACCGGCTTCCATGGGACTGCATCTCCTTACGATGCTCCACTGCCTTGTGGATCAGACCTTCAGGTCGAAGGCTCGGGGTGTGGCCCCCTAAGAAAACCACCTGCTTCGGTTTGGGCACCCGGGCAGTATCACAGCTCTCACACACATATCGAATGAGATTTGTGTGGCGCATATGTATTTGGTGCCTCTTTGTACCATTATCTATGTGTTGAAATAAATAATAAATAAATAACTGATGTAGATATGTATTCATTTGCACATTAGTTAGTCATAAGCACATGAACTCCAATGTCTTTCCTATAAATGTATATCCTTTAAGTGTATAAATAATGTAATACTAGTTCGATAGTTATGCATATCTTTGTCAATAAACTCCTAACTTTCCTGTTTATAATAGTGAGACTTTGAGATTCAGAAGCTGACTTCTTATTTAGAGAATCCAGCCTACAAGTTTTTTATTTGGGCAAAGAGCAGATAATCTTGTGTGGATTTATTTGGTGGAAACTTTAGTGATAGTAGACCGTTTTACGGACATTAAGGTTCAAAGTGAGGTACAAATTTTGAGACATTTCCCTCTGCGTAAATGCTAAGGGAAAAATTCTGACTATTTTTTCATGTTGAGATGCTTTGGTGCATCTCCCCTGCTTCCATTTCCTTCCTCTCTTTCTATGGAGGGGAAATTGATATATATCAACACATAAGTATCAATCTCATATGATAACATGAGATGTCACAAAATACAAGCAAGTTGGTATCCATATATTGTCAGTTGTATATTACATCTAGGAAAGAGCGATATGCACACACGAGTGTTTAATTATCTACTCAATTAAAATCAGCAAATATTGTAACAACAAACGGCGGCCTAATACCTCAAAACCAAACTTGCCTCTCTTGACGATCGTAAATTAAGCGCGATCATTTAAAACTCGGAATTTGAAAAAAAAGTAGGTGAATCATTTTATGTTTTGAAACATTTAACGTTTGTCATGTTTTTCGTGTCAAAAATTTGGATTTTAAATTATATTTAACTCTTTTAGTGATATTTAGGTTTGTGAAATACCTTTGCATATGTTTGATATTACATATTTATCTGGTTGAAGTATTTTGTTGAAGTGCATCTGTTTAGCATATCTATCGTCTTCCCATTTTCTTCCTAAGATCGGCTTTCCTCATCTGCCTGATGTTTTGTTGATCATTAGTTCAATGTACTGTTTCAGAACAGGGTGATCTTATCCGCAACGCAACCATGTAAACTTAATGTACCGGTCATCTGTGCGTTCAAGTAACCACAGATTTTGACATTTCATAATGTATTTTTAATTAAATAACTAGATTATATAGCTAATTTTGATCTTTTTTTATATTTTTATTCGCCACGTTCGACTGCGTTACACTGCACGTCCATTGCATGCTGGGATAATATCTCAAGTCATAGCGAGTTTATTCACATAGTTGATTGTTTCCAGATAGACTGTCAGTGCATGATTTTACTGTATAAAGGTTTATTGTACTATAAACTATGTTTTTATGAACAACTGCTTGTTGTCGTCAGTCGGAAAGCAATATATATATTCTTTGTCTTCTGTTCGGTAAGTTCAATTGGCCTATATTTCGTGTTTTTGTTTTATCGTCTTAATTATGTCCATTTAACTACTTTAAGCAATATGCCTGTGCAAATGAAACAATAACTATGACACTTGCTTAGTTTAGTATTCTTGGTTGTCGTATAATTCAGTTTAGTTGAAAGAATTATGGTATACTTAAGTATAGTGCTTGAAGTCTGTAACGAAACAGATCAGCCTAGTAAGTAGAGTTGCCTGTTTCTGATGAGTATACTGATTCAAATCAGTCTGATTAAAAATAGGAAAAAAGTGCTTTTGGTACTGTTGCTGTCATACATTATAAGATAGCGATAAGTATGTTTGGTGTTTATTTCTAGATTGTACATCTATCACTGACCATATTTCATGATCACTGTCATTAAACAATTTCCCCAGCAATAACATCGGTAGCAGGATAGCTAAGTATCTGAGCTTTTATTTGCCCGTAGAAGAGCAGTATACAGTCTTAGAAGATGAGTGTTCTGTATTTCAATTAAATGCAGTTGGCTGTGGACAAATGTTAAGAATCTTTTTGACAACTAGGACTTTTAGTTCATCAAACACTAACTCTGCTTGTATGTATCCCTGTTAAACTAGATGCAGATACATGGTAATACTTAAATGAGAGCAAAATAATAAAAGCATTGAGATACGGTATTAAGTCCATGTTATGCTTTGCACAATAAATAGCTGACCTGACCTAATATTCATGAACTAAAGGTAAATCACAACTGCATAAATTCTTTGCTAAAATACATGTAATTTGGTTATTTATCTATTCCACATTTCTGACTAAATTCATTACTGTTTTCTCATTTAGAATGCAACAGGACTGAGTCTTCACAGATGTTAAGAACTGTTTCGCCCTTAGAACTATGGCCCTATGGATCTGTTTACGGAAGACCCAACTAACAGCAGATTATAAAAAGGATGCTGGATGTCCACTTTAATCTCACAACCACTTCCAGTACTTTTTGAGTTACTTCTTTTACCCTTTCGTTTGGAAAAAACAACAAAAACTGCAGCTTAACATTACAAATGCAACTTTTAGACTGGAACTTGGTTTAAACCTTTGTTTCATATTCGATTCTTAATGAAAGTTCTGGAATAAATTTTTGAACCTAATGCTACTTTGTTTTATCTACTTAATCGTTGCAAGAAACTTGTGATAATCGAGCCTCTCATCACCTAATTCATGCGTTCAGGCTTCCGTGTCTATTAGCAGGGGATCACCAAAACCTCCAAGCAGGAACCTAGGTATGTTAACAATAAAAGATCCAGTCGCCTCCCAAATGACTCCTGGGAAGTCGCTTGAACTAGTTCGGCGAGCAGCGAATTCCAGCATTTGACAACTCTTAAGGAGTAGAAGTTGCGTCTACAGTCCATTCTGCTATGTCGTGTCTCTAGTTTCTGGGACTAAGCTCAAATAGGTGTTTAAGAAAATGTCCAGAAGTGTTAAGGATTCTGTAAGTAAATAGGTCACCTCTAAGACGTCTATACTTTAATGAGTAGAGGTTAAGTGATTGGAGGCGCTCTTCATAAGGTGATTTGGTGCATATCTCCGTCACTTTCTTAGGAAACCTACAGGCTCGGGTCCTCTCACAACTTATTCTAGCCACCGTGAGTTGCCACGAAAACTGATGGATGGACACGCGTTACACATCCTAACCGTCCCTGCATCTAATCTCATAGCTTCTTATTCAAATGTCATATGATAAGCAAGTAATGCTTCTACCGACACTAATGGAACACGAGTAATTCAAAGGCACCCTGTATGGTACTTTACATTGGTCTACGCACTCACTTAGCTCTTTAGTGGGAATATTACTACAGTCCTGCTAAAAAACCAATGAACCCCCCTACCACCATCAAAACAATAAGTCTGTATTTGCTGCATATAGCAATTTTATTTTTCAGAAGATATAACAGTAAGAATTGGAGTAAAATAACAATATACAACAGATGCACGTGGTACATGTCTTCATCGATCATCTGAAATAGAGAATACGGATATTAGCTTAACATGCTTATTTAGAAAGACTAGTGTTTACTTTGAACTTACTGTGTGAGAAAGTTATACTGGAACTGTGAATAATGTAGGAATCTAGTCTTCCAGGGCGTACGAAGCACTCAAACTGGAAGACAGTTGTCACAAATTAATTCGAATATGAAGTTGAGAATTTGCAAGTACTTTTCATCGTAAAGGTGAACATATTAGATAACGGTTGACATCATACCGTAAAAATAACAAATTTGCGAGTGGTGAATTATGGTCTATAAAAAGGTGAGCTTAATAACAGTTAGTTACATTTTTAATCCCTGATCATGACCCTTCGGCTTCCTTTCGTGGCCGAAACAGCAAACATACACTACACACTGATAGCAGATTTCCGGCTTTTCAATGTTAAGCTTGCTTTAACGCACTACGTAATGCGTACAACCCCTCCATTACTGCTATGTGGCATATTTTTTCATAACAAACCCTCTGCAATAGATTGGTAGCATCCGTGATTGTCGGAAGCCTGGGTACTTTCGAAAACAATACTGACATCCCCTACTGCTAGGCACTAAGTATTAGTTTGACTCGTTGGTGGGATATTGTCGTCCGCAATACTGAAGAAAATTAAAAACCGGAAATTGTTCCCTTTCATTTTGCCGATAACATCATAAAGGACAGTTAGGAATGAACACGCGGACAGTTAGTCACAGGAGGCAGCAACAGTTATTTCAGCTAAGAAAAAACGAACTTCGGCTTTGGATATCTAGAAAACAAGTCAAAACAAAACCGATTTTCATTTTAAAACATAAGACTAACCAGCTTGACTGAAGAAATACATTGACTAGAGTAGAAGCAGCAAAAACCCCAAAAACAATGCTGATTCGAAGTAAATTTCACACCAACATGTAGAACACTACACTAACTGCGGCATCTTAGCACATTGAAACATTAATTACATAGCTACACAAAAGAAATAGCTAAAAGAAGCATAGAGCGAAGATAGCCGACCGCCATTACGTACAAAGATGGCTGATATAATAATTCCCGCCACATTCTGATTGGTTGCTAAGCTGACGGGCACATTTACGAAATTGAGTTGCGTTTAATTGCAGCCTTCAGAACACGGTTATAAAAACTCTTGTAATGTTATCATTTTCCACACATTGTGGCTAACTGTACGGAATGTTTCCTATTTTATTAACATCGTACTGGCTTAAATGATCGTTCAAGACCATCAGTGTGGCCAACCATTGTTTCTCTTTCCTGTTGATGTTGTAGAGCCAGTGAAATGTCACTGAGCCCTAGCCAAATCATCCGGCAGTTGGATCACTGAATATCGAACAGATCATCGATCATCGTCAAGGTCAAGAGCAACCAACGCTTATCAATTAGTCGTACGCCATGAACCGGCACATGAGGCGGTGGTCTTACTTCGGCTTGTATTTATTTCAACTAATATAACGTCCTTTGTGTTGCACAGTCTTCGAAACATCTATAGTACCTTAATACGTCGATGGGGTAATCCACACAAGGTGTTGACCGTGAGGTGTGACTTCGATGTTAGCTGATTTGTCAAATCGTTCCTGTCTAACTCTAGTAGGCCCCCAATCATCAAGGTTGGTGATCTACAATGTCAAACAGTATGAAAACTGTAAGAGACTATTGTTTGATTGTGTACCGTACCAACACCGATAATGTATTGACGTTGCAGCAGGTTGTCATCACTATGGTTTTTTATAGAATGTTTGCTGACAAGCCTTGTAGCGGTAAATAAATCCCCAAAATAAATAGCTCTGTAAGTTTACAACATTAAATGCTGACCATATGTTTTAGTGAACTCATCTACCTGAAGGCGCTCGGTCATGCATCCGCACCAGATCACGTATGGTAACGCTGCGCTCAACATCTACCGCAATCGCCAGCCAGATTAGATCAAAGAATTCCGTATTTTAAAGTTTAAATTAATTGGAAGGACATTCCAACTGAGTTAAAATTTCTAAAGCAAGATAGTGAAGCAAACCTTAAGGTCGAGGGTTTTCCGATAGTTAGTTTACAGGACTTTTAGAATTAGGGTCTATTTTGTTACTAGCACACTTATCTTTGCTACTATAATAATATACCTAATCTCAAAATTGTAGATACGTCGTGAGGTAGCTACCTAATCTGTAGAGCCTTACGTGGAAGTCATTATAGTGTACATCGGCTCGTCCCACCGTGATGATCAGCAACATGACGTCTAGCACTTATGAAGAACACATTCGGGTTGGTAAGTGATTGATACATATCAATACGAAATGCAAGAGATTATGCAG